CAGATTCGACGAATTCGAGCACCAGATTTGACGAATTCGAGCACCAGCCAGAAAGTGACTCGTGACTTTTGAGTTTGAGTTGGATTGTGTGTCTCCGCCCTGGGCAGAATTTCCAGAAAATCAGCATCAGCCAGACCACCGGGTTTTGCGAAATCGAGCACCCGATTTGAAGAGTTCTAGCACCAGATTTGACGAAATCGAGCACCAGATTTGGCGAAATCGAGCCCAAGATTTGACGAATTCTAGCACCAGATTTGACGAAATCGAGAACCAGAGCCACCAGCCCAGGGACCAGCCCCACATTTCAAATGAAAGAAGAGCCACCAGCCCAGGCCAGCCAGGGACCAGCCCCACAATTCAAAAGGAAAGCAGAGCCACCAGCCCAGGCCAGCCCCACATTTCAAAATGAACGCAGGAGAGTCTTTGCAGTGCATGGGAAATCTGATTGGACCCAGGCCCTTTTTTTTTTTTTCCAATTTTCCTGGTGCATCCTGGTGCTGCTTTTGTGCTCATCGATTGTGCTCACTGTTAGTGGCCCGCAGCCACTTTGAACCTATGGCACCATATTATATATCAATCAATCTGTCCTTATATTATTGAAGGTTCTTTCACCCCAAAGTCTGTCGTCTATTTAGGGTGCTTTGGTGGGCGCTTTTGGGTTTCACACGGCATACTTTCGATGTTATGAGTATGAGGCTTTCTTTTGGCCTCGCAGACGTCCTGTTTCAATGAGCTTTGCAGGACCTCCCAAACGGTGAGCATGTGGGAACTGGATCATCAAGATCATCAAAACACCAAAGATCACCATGGCAATATCCAACCCATGAAATGGGCTGCATACAAAACACATCAAAAGACCCCCGTACAAGATTTCCAGATGTTCCCAGCGCCATCTTTTGTGGAGTTTGCTCCAGGAGAGTCCTCCAGAGGAAAAGCACGGTGAGCTGCCGGATATCGAGGAGATCAGAGGTTGGTCCTGCACACGAGATCAGGTCCTTCAATGGTCCTTCCGAAAAGGGAAAGAGCTCAAGAGTCATGACCATCACGGGCCCTCGAAGTCGAACGACTGGAATCGACTAGGTAGTTTGACCCAGTGAAGTTTAAAGGGAGTTCCCTGTCAGGCACCCAACAAGACATCGAAAGACCATTCTCTTGAAAATCGACTGGGACTGCCAGGGAAGAGAGTACAGGCTTCCAGCATGCTTCGACACGACGGTCGCTCGGAAGTTCGGAGTCAGATCAGATTGCACAACTCCCACAGGTGTACAGCAGGACCCCAAAGCTTTCCATTTCGACGGACCCAGGAGCTGCTGGTGGAGGGTTGGACCCTGGTGGCGTGTGACGAGCCGCGAGCGGAGGTCTCGCGAGCGGAGGTCTCGCGCTCTCCGCAGCGGGTGGCGACGTGGCTCGGCAGCTGAGGAGGTCGTGTTCGAGGACGACTCACATCCTTTGGGGCTTGCGAGGTTTTCAATTGTGGATGGGCGCATTTCGTAGCATTTCGTAGCTAGCATCGGAAGACATGGACTTGGGATGGGGATGGGGAAAAGTGGGGGATGTTTTCGCAAACAGCTTCACGTGTAGAAAGTCATAACATACTGGAATTCTAATCGATTATATGGTAGGGCTTGGTCTGACAATCGCTGTGTAGCTTGAGCTTTCCCAGACCTCGGCAACAGGTCAGTGACGTTGGCACAGCGGGTTCCTTCAGGCCAGCCAGTCAGGGAAAGCTGATCTCCCTGCTGCCTCCAAGCAGCTGACTGGGACCTACTAACAGAGGGTGAAGAACCCTTTGGATATCTATAGACTCTCTATAGACTATATAGACTATCCCAGTTCGGTACCCAAGGTGACGGGTCCTTTCAGGATCCTGACTGCTTCTGGATCCCTGTGACTCCTTTTGGCATGTTGGAACAAATCTCTCGTTCGACGTCACGGTGGCAAAAAACGGAGTGTGGCAGATGAACATGTTTCGGCGCTTGGTGGGCCGCACAGATGTGCAGACGAACCTCGACCCACCGATTTAGAGCAATGCAACCTTGACTTCGCCTGTGATGTCTTAGTGATGTCTTATAAAGGTCTTATCGAACCGCAAGTCCAACAGAACAACCTCCTCATGGGTCTCCTCGTCTTCCTCATCCCTTCCTCATTGGGAACAAAAAAAGTGAACTAAAACGCAGAACCGAATGTCTTTTCCCATGGATTGAGAACGACCAACCGCGTTGGAGCCGATTTCTTTTCGAGATTCCTTTTCCGGTTCCCGGATCCATCTGCTCCAGGCCTTCCTTCCGTGCTCCTGGCGGACGGAGCGCCGCGCGGACCGCTCTGCAGCGCGGCGCCGCCCACGTGGACCGTGCCGCGCCCGCTGCGGAACCTTCCGTGGCAGGTGGCGGCCTTGGAGGAACAGCGGAAGCAGGCTGCAAACGATCCCCGTGGGCCGCTGGCATGTGATGTTCCGCAACTGATGTGCCCCACACGGCCATGAGTGAGGAAAGTCTTTCATACTTCCAAGAGTGTTGGTAGTTGTGTTGCTGTATCCCGAATCAGCAGCTGGAAATAGGAGGATTGAGAATGATTGAGATACCTTCACTTCAAACATGTGCATGTTTCTAAACCCTTGACGCTTTACATCTGCAGATCATCAATGGTTTGAACCCCTTGGCTGCGCAGACTCCCATGCAGAACGCGTCGGAGCTGCGGATGGTGCAGCGCAGTCACCAAGCATGGTGAGAGGCCACAGATGGAGGCTGCTCAGAAGGGCCAAGCAAGGTCAGGCGTATGATCCTGGATGGCTGAGCAGGTGATTTGTGTTTGTAGCCGTTGTAGCGTCTATTCTTCTGGCACATGTGAATATTATAAACTATAAATTCTTCTATCAGAATTTCCGAGAACTCTGCTATGATGGTAAAAAGATATGGCCCACCTCTTCCAAAGACCGTCCGGTGTCTCAGCAGGGAAGTGACCCTTCTCGGCAACATGGTGGTTTGGATTTCTTCTGGCCATCCATCCTATGATCCCTTGACTCGGAGTCAATGACTATATTGGGTCTGTCCTACTACCTGCTAACAGTCAGTGAACAGTTACGACAGGCCTTTAGGAACCATCATCATCCACTGTTCCTGGTAGTAGGCTAGACCCAAACATACCCAAACTATATACTATAGCCTTCAAGCAACAAAGAATTGTAGATAAGGCAGAAAAGAATTGTAGATAACTACTCAATAGCCGTCTTTGTTATTTTGGTGGTATTATGTTGGGTTAAGTTATACTTGGTTATATTGAGTTCGCAGTTTAGCAGTTTTGTAATTTAGCAGTTTAGCAGTTTAGTATCATAAGTATTCGGTGGCCACCCGGATACTAGTTATATTTAGTTGTGGTGGACCTGGTCAGCTCAGTCAGCTCCAAGTTCTTGTACAGTCAACGCCGCCAACGTTTTCACCGCTTAAACATACCAGCTGGAGAGAGCTCGTGTGCGTCTGTGGGTCTGTGGCAGGAAGGGCCACATCGAAGTTAAGGACCAGCCACACCTCACTTACCATAGAAGTAGGATGTTCAGTCATCAAGATGTGCAGCACATGGCCACCAATAATCTACAGTAGTATCTACAGTCTATACAGCCATTAGCTCAAATCATATGGGGCTTAGTGGAGCACAGCAAGCACAGCGAGCACAGCAAGCACGGCTGGCTTCAGAAGGGCAAGTGTTTCCCTAAGTCTGCCTCGTGTTTGGGGTAAGTTACCCCCGTGTGCGTGGCACCGTGCATGGCGCGCGGAAGTGGCGAGCGCTTCTGCTTAGTCTTCTCAACCGAGGCCTCTTCGGGAGAGAGACGGACCGTGGGCCCCGTGGGGTTTCCGGATGTCCGGCCAAGAGTTTTCCCGGAGGGGCTGGGGAGTTGAGCAGCAACAGAGTGCGGCCAAGAAGGGCGTTTTCGGCTTCGAGGCCGAAGGATGAAAAAGCTGACCTCCTTGGGCAGGCATTGGTGCGATTTTGGGGGCTTGGAACTCGTCATGTGCCCGTTGAAGGAATCAGAGGAGTGGCCGCTGTGATTAGACCAAACATGTTGAATCCTTTTGATAATCGCAACAGTGGCGTAGACATTGGCTTCCACCCATGCGACCTGAAAAAACAATCTACCAGATCGGTCTATGGCATTCGGCCTATGGGCTGCCACCTGAGTCTGTTTGTAAAGAACTCGGCACCAGCGCGAGTGGCGCACTGAAGCTCAAGTGGCTGAGGCTCGTTGATTGTGGTGCAGGCGGGCTGGAACTGTTGTCTTGAGATGCTTAGAGTTATGGTAAACCACGGGTTGTGATTGTGATAATGCTTCTTTCAGTCAATGATGTTGATATTCCAGTAGCCAGTATATGATTGTTCCACGTAGGCATGGAGTTGTTTGGGATCCAGGCATATCAGCAGATCGCTGCTTCCTTCTACACCTAGCCAAGCGCGGGCGCGCTTGAATCAACGCGCCCACGGATCGCTTTTTCCATGCGCCCCTTCGGTCGAACCGTGCTCCGGGGGGGAGACCTGGTGTTGGGAGCCCTTGGGAGGCGTGACGGGCCGTGGGCGCTGGGGCCCAGGTGGATGCGGAATTGTCACACACCCCGTTTGGGACGAGATGCGTTCAATGTGTTTCGTGGCGGAGACGGAGACCTCCACCTGGCGAGTGTCTCCTTTCAGAGTTCGAAAGACCAATTCACTCCCACACCGCGCCGGCAGTGCCGGTGGCAATAGGACCATGAGGGTGGTTTTCACTGCGACTGTGCACACGACACCGCTGGTTCTTCACACTTCGATGTCACCAACACGTCACGTCGCTTCGATTCCGCGCCATATGGGACCGTCGGGTGTGGCCGTCGCGGGTGGTCGCCGGAGGCGCCGGCACCACAACGGCGGTGCCCCTTGAGATGATGGGAGGCACGCACCGTCGATGGTGATCCATGGTGATCCTCAACTACTCAAACGATGGTTCCAGAGACAGTTTGTTGCGCAGTCATTTGGCGTGATTGTTTCTTTGTACACTGTGCTTGTTGAAGGAGAATATTTCAATTATGTTTGCTAAGACTTCGACCCCTTCTCCAGAGATGTACTTATCTGGGAAGTAATTTGGATTTGACTTTCCTGGGTTGGTGTTTCCCCCTGAAAGGAATTTCGGACCAGCTCTGAGGGCAGGGTGCTTTTGAGCCACTGCTTCTGCTGTTGCTTTTAGCCCGGAAGCCGAGATGGCAAGAGTCGCGACTCTGAAGTCAACTCGGAGGATCCATCACTGCAACTCCGAGGATCCATGTCTTGCCTCACAGACATGCTCTTTGCAGAACGTCGTCACGGAATTGGATGGTGTGAAACATGCTATAATAATATCTAGAATTATTTGAGATCAAGAAACGGCTTGGCCTTTCTACGGCGTGCTGTGATACACGGTGCCATGGAAGTGAATTTGTCAGAGTTCAACCTTAGCAGCTTCAACTTTAGCAGCTGGATGGCAGAGTGGCAGACCACGGAAGTGAGTTTGTCAGAGTTCAACTTTGACAGCTGGATAGCGGAGTGGCAGACCATTCTTGGTCTTGTTTTCATTCTGGGATGGCCTTGCCTCTTTTGCGTAGTCTTTGTCATTGCAAGTGTTCCTGCGCAGTGGGTGGGGGAATGCTCCAAGGGCCGCGCGTACGATCGTGACAAGGACCTGGATCGGTTGGGCAAAGACAAGGCCTTGCGGCACCTGTGCATGTATTCCGGCTTGTACCTTTTGATCTATGGCACGCTAAAGCATTCACCTGGCTTGGCCGTGTTGGTGGCAGCTCTCCATACCCTGATCACAGCATCTTTGCAGCTTTGTTGGTTGGCCGGCACCGCCAATGAGAACAATTCCAAAGCTAGCAATGAACGCGAGAAGGGGGAAGAGATCAAATTAGCCCCCCTGACACACGGCGATGACCAGACGGATCAGGCCACAGCCAATGAGAACAAACACCAAGCTAGCAATCAGGACCAGAAAGAGGAGGCTTTGGTGCCAGTGTCTGTCTACTCGAACTTTGAAGGGCGTCCCATTCTTGAATGCGCCTCAGTCTTCGCGATTCAGATTATGCTCTATGGGATGGTGCTCAGTGAGGTGTTTTTCCAAAACCCGATCTTCGAAGAGATTGAAGAGCGTCAGATGTGGTTTTACATTGGTGGAGCGGCCATCGGCTCAGTGGTGCGATTGACCGGTGACTCTTTTGAGAATCATGAATGGAAACCCTTTTGGGAGAGATATTTCTTCGAAAACTTCCGAGACAAAGAAATGCATTGGACGTGGCTACGCTTCGCCATGTCTTGGGTGGTAAACCATCTTCTGGCAGACATCATCCTTCTGATGCTCCCGGTCATCTTGATGCAGGCAGATGACAACATGGACTTTGTGAAGGATGCAACGTCTGTCCTCTTCATCTCTGAGCTCGATAACATCTCGAACGCCATAGACATTAAAAGGCAATCCAATCAGCCATCCGGACCACCACCCAAAAAAACCGGCCAACCCCAAAAAGACACCGAATGAAGAGCCATTTGCCACAGCGAAGCTGTGCAGCAGCGAGTGCTCATCATCACTGGACTTGCCGTTGGGCAGTCCCAGTTGAACGAACATGCTTAGGCGGCATTGTGCGGCAACCGGATTGTTCAGACCCGGGTGTGGCTAGCTGCCGTCCAGGCATGATCAAAAGTGCGCGAGCCAGCTTCAGCTGGCGAACTCTTGGCACAGCGCTTTGTTTTCGTCGTTTTCTTCATCTTGTTCGGATGCAGCGAATCTGATACTTGGACAGAAGTGCGGCAACCTGTGCTCTTCAAGCCGAGGCCCACAAGACCCATCACGGACGATTCTTGGAGGTTGGAAGACGTGGAAGGGAGGATTTTGTTGGTTCACTGCCCCCTATCAAAGACGAGAGTCCATTCTTTCAACCAGATCTAAGATCGACGTTTTTACATTATAGTTGGACTGAACTGGATCAGTTGGACTGGAGTTTGTGTGATGTTTAGTCTGCAGAGTCTGCAGTGGGACTTTGAAGGCCCTTCTGGCAAGTTGCTGGCTGGAGTTGGGCGTTCATGCAACAGCTTTCGTCTATCATGATTTCAGAGTATCTTCATTGCCACCCAGCACTCATCTCAACTGAACACAACTATATATACACGGTATACATTTCTGATGTCCAAAGGTCCACTGCAACACGTTGACGTAGCTTGTAGCTTGCCAGATCCGTTGGGTCCACGCCGCCACGCCGCGCCGTTGCGTCCGCGCCATGGCGGCCTGGGCCGAAGGGTTGGTCTCCGCGCAGACGGCCTTGAAGGAGGGCAAGCTCTTCGATGGCGTCCAGGCGATCAATGCGTGCATGGAGGCGGGGAGGTGTCCAGGGGAAAACGGGAAGAAACCATGGTCACCAAATGATGTGGGGCATATGGGGGGACAAGTGCAGATAAACTACTGTATATAACTTCTTTGACCCATTAAAGGCAATGGTCTCAAAAATGCCTTCAGGACTCGGACTCAGGACTTCCTTGCTTACGTTCTTGAGGTGATAAAGAAACCCTGTTCTTGACTCCTGTTCTTTGTTCCACCTGGAGGCTTTCGCCAAGGCGCTGGGTGATGAGACGGACCAAGTACTGAGAGACCCCATGGCCTTCCTGGAAGCACACGTTGCAAAGCTCTCAGGCGAGCAGAAGGATGCGCTACGCACGATGTATGAGGTCAGAGGTGACATCATCACGGGCTTAGGAGCGAACAAGCGAGCCGCCCTGGACTACAAGTCTGCTGAGATGCTTGGAGCTCAGAGTAGTGCTGCTTCGGAGTAGCTTTTGAGCGGTCCCATCTCCAATGATCTGGGAGTGGCAATTATCTAATCCTCTCAGCACTTTCTTTTTCTTGCTACATCTTGTCCCAAATGTTATATATAGACCATCCTAACAATGATGGTTTGAAGTCTAAATCGCCCACCAGGAAGCTTGGAGCTCAGATCAAAGACAAAATCGCCAAAGCCGAGACCGCCGGCAAAGAGCAGGCGAAAGGAAGCAACAAGGACAAGGTGCCTGTCACCGTGCTGACTGGCTTCCTGGGCAGTGGTAAGACGACCTTACTGAATCAGATTTTGAAGGAGTTTCATGGCAAACGCATCGCTGTCATTGAGAACCCGGGATTTGCTTAGCGTTTCGGGATTTTTGGTGACGTGCCCTCATATCAGGGTGAATCCCCCTCACCTGGGGAATATGATATATTGTTTCCCCGCTTCCTTGTTTGAGCTGCACAATCCAAGGAATGAATTTGGCGAAGTGGGCATTGACGATAGCCTCATTGAGGGTTCCTCCATGGCCATGGAGGAGAACATCATCGAAATGAACAACGGCTGCATTTGCTGCACCGTCCGGGGAGACCTCATCGCCGGCCTGAAAAAGCTGATCAAGAATTCCATGAAGAGCGGCCACCCGGTAGAAGGGCGGTGCGCTTGGGCGGATCGTTGTTTGAGGCGGTTTTTCGGTGGTTTTTAATAAGGAATGTGTTTTGTAACTAAGGTGTTGTGAAGGTGTTTGGGTTGATCTTTTTCCGGTGTTTAGGTTCGAGTCGCAGTCGAGTCGGGGAAGTCGAGTCTGGTTCTTTTCATGTTCTTTACGCGAGAGGCCCTGAGGTAAAATCCAGCACAGGGACTTTTTCCAGGGGATTCTTCCTTTCGAGGTCCATTCCAAAAGAAACAGCCCAAGTGCTTTCCAGGTCCCATCTTTTATATCGCTGTCAGGACTATATGGTTCAAATCCCCAAGTGGTGGTGCTTTTTCTCCTGGCATTTGGGACGAAAAGAGGGATTTGAACCATTGCACGTTCCGGATCGGTCCATGTGGGCCTAGGCAAGGCGCTGGACGGTGTCATCATCGAGACCACCGGCTTAGCGGACCCCGCGCCGGTGGCGCAGACCTTCTTCGCGGACGACTTCGTGCAGCAGAACTTGTATTTGGACGGTCTCCTGGGTTGTGCTTGAAGGTCAGGTGATCTTTTTGGTCTCTTTCCGGTTCCTGGGTGAATCCCCTTGTGGAAGATGTTACTTTTCTCTCCCGGTTCCTTCACAAGCCAATTCCAAGGTATCGTGACGTTGGTGGATGCCAAGCATTTGATCTTGCACCTGGATGAGGAGAAACCCGAAGGGGTGGAGAACGAAGCCGTGGAGCAGGCGCGGCGGGGACGAAGGGACTGGCCTGGAGCTGGCGTTGAAGATCATTCGGACTGGTGTGAGTCCAGTCCGTTCGTGGGATTTAGATGGTTTTAGAATGTTTTAGATATGCCAATGATGACGCAACCATGTTCAGTAATAAGGGGCGAGTGTCTTTTTTTCTCTTTCCGTTCTAAACTATTGGATGATCTGCACGATTTTCCCGTTCCTCCCTGTCTTTATGGCATGCAACCAGCGCCCAGCGCCACATGCAAAAAGCCCTTGCTCCGGTCCTTCAGCACCCGCATAGGTGGCCTTTGCGGATCGCATCATCTTGAACAAGTGCGACCTGGTGGATGCGGCGCAGCTCGATGAGGTGGAGAAACGCGTGCGCATGATCAACGAACCCGTGAAGATCGTGCGCACCACGCAGTCCAAGGTTTCGCGGAGACGAGACGCGGAGCGCGGTTCCGCGCGGCGAAGTCCGGCGAATGTGAAGGGTGGGAGGGGTCTAAGGAGCCAGAGCCGGCGAAGGGTCTGAGAGGCAGAGGGAAGAGAGTCCACATGACCCTCCAGGTAAGCCCACATGACCCACAGGTAGGTCCACATGACCCTCCAGGTAGGTCCGGTAGGTTGCCATATATGATATGCAACAAACTAATTACCTGGGTTGGGAGATTCCCTTTGCCAAAGTCATTGGCCAAAGAAGTTATAAGCCACACTGTCATATCGTACCTCACTGCACCTAGCAGAAGGACAAGATAGAAAGTAGACCACTGTCCACCCCCCTCAGGTGGATATGGACTTCATCTTGGGCATCGAAGCCTTCAACTTGGACAAGATCTTGGACACCTGATTTTGCTGATCAGGTGATTGCTTGCAAATTTTCCCTACAGATATACTATCATGGACCAGCACTTAGAATATGAAATCCTAAAATTTAGGAATAAATTTCCTAGTCAACTGTATGGTTTTTTTCCTCCTACCCTGGGACATGTATATCAAAAAACTCTAGGTTCCTGGACATCCAGAACCTAAGGACATGGATGATGGCTTCTTGGCCGATGAGCAGGACCACCAGCATGATGAGCGTGTGAGCTCTTGCGGCTTTCATGTCAAGGGAGAGGTGGCGCACCAGAAGCTCAATGATTCCTGGATGACCGTGGAATTTCTCCGAATTCTTTATTGTTCTGTTTTTCTGTGGAAATGTGGGTGTGTATTAGAATGGGGGGGGCCCGATTCTTGAACCTCCTTGGAAGAAGGGAAAGCAACCACAACCCACTGGTGGAGGGTTGCCTTATTGAAAATACACATCCATGTGGGAATGGCTATTCCGATGCATGCCATTTTCTGGGGATGGTTTACGAACCAGGAGTGGCTCGGAGCGCTCCTGAAGGAGAAGGGCCAGGATTTGTTCCGTACCAAGGGGGTGTTGGCCGTCCAGGGGATGAAGCAGAGATTTGTCTTCCAGGCGGTGCACATGGCGTGCAACTCTGCTCCACAGAAGGACTGGGAGGCAGATGAGGAGCGCATCTGCAAGTTGACCTTCATTGGCAAGAATTTGAACCGGAAAGAACTGGAGGATGGCTTTAAGAAATGCTTGGTGAATGGCGGCTACACAGTGAATTGAGACGTTTTTTCTTTATTTTTCTTCGCCGATCCAGCTCACTAAGGGGCGAGTCTGGTGGCATTGCATGGTCCGCGACATGGACGCTCGAGAGGTGAGTTTCATTTAGTCAGGACGCTTGCACAAGGATCAAGTCCAGTTTTGGCTTCAGAGGGGTGTCAGCTTTTCTTGTGCTCCCATTTTTGTTCGAACTGAGCGTGGGCAAGGTTCGAAACCAGCATAAACAAAGTGCGGCCCCTTGGGCAGGCAACATGAAGTGCACAGCAAAAAAGTTGAGCTCTGCTGGGATTTTTCACGGCAGTTCTGGTTTCAAGTCCACCCTTGTTCCATGGGCATCCAACATATATGTGCTTCCTACCAACATGCATCCCAAGATTGTTGAAGTGATGACAGCCAGCGATAGCTGAAGTTCCTTTTGCTTTGGCGATGCATTTCCGGAATGCTGCTAGTGTCTGAGGAGGAAAGCTGTCGAGCTTATATAGTGACCTGGTTTCACCGCCTCATCTTCAAAGACTTTGCACACTTTGCCTTGCCAATGCTTGGCATCCCTGTCGAGTCCCCTCACTTCTTCTTAGATTGGTCCAACATCCTTGATTTCTGCTGAAGAAGTGCGGGGGAGCATAAGCACCGTGAACTATATGGTGAAACATACGCATACAATGCGCATATATATATATATGTATAGATGTGTATATGATATAGTAGGTATCTTCTTACCATTTGTTCCTTGGGGTCTCAAGCTGGTCGTTGGTGCCAGGAAGCCTTGGGCTGCAACCTCTTTCCTTCGGAAACCTGTCGTCCTCTTGGCCTTCGCGGCTTGGCTCCATGGCCTTGCATGGCCTTCGTCCTGTGCTCGCTGGCTACGTCGAGAGAGTGAGAGTGAGAGTTGGTTTCCCGTACGTTGGCCAACACGAGATGACCGACCCCAGAGATGAGTTGAACACCTAGGACCAGATGAGAGAGAGAGAGAGAAATGCCATGAAATGCCTTTCCAACACCTTTTTCTGCTTCAAGAGGATCGCTGCGCCCGGTTCGGAACGAGGCTTTTGGGAAGCGGTGAAGGCAGCCTATTTGGCGAAACTGAAGTGGGCTAGTTCCACCGCCTGCCAACAGCAGTATCGCAGGACGGGGAGGAGCTTCAATCTGATGAGCTTAGGTTCCATGGAATTCCATTCTTGTGCTTGATAGCCTCAGCAGTCAGCAGGCTTGTCAGCACAAGTTCCGACCTTCTCGAAGTTAGGTATGTGTCCAGTAAGTGTTATGAACCTACTACGTACTTCAGCCAGTCGCTTGGATGAGGAATGATGAGGAATTGCAGTCCTAGTTTGCCTGAAAGCCAGGATTGCAGACGTGGCGGGCAAATGGTAGAGTGAGTTTGGTATCAGCACATGAGCTTCTGGCTTGCGGGTTGACACCAAATTCACTCTGCCAAGCACTGCTTGCAGATGAGTCGATGCCCGAATCCCAGTCAAAACAGGTGCCCAGGTCTCAGTTCGTGGGTCTATCAGCCAATCCTCGCGCGTGGCGTTCTCCGTGTCGATGGCACATGCCGAGGAGTCCTTCTTCGCGAGCGGCGACCGAGTCCCGCCGCAGGTGGGGAAGGATGGAAGGTCATCATCGGGTGACGTTTAGGGATGCAGGATGAAGATCGTTATGGTTTTGATGTGTTACATGGCGGGTGTGTGTGGATGCCGACTGCTCTTCCTCCCTCACCAGCCGCTGGAGTGATGTGGAGATGTGGGAATTACTTCCGGGCCCGGGTCAGACCTAATTGGACCAAGAATCGGTTTTGGGAAGACGGTGGTGGTTTCATGTGGTCTACCCACGCAAATCCTTGGTTCAATGCTGCCCATTTGTCGGGCTATGTGTAATCCAACCCTCCAAACGGGCAATGAGTATCAGAGTCGAGGGGTTCCACTCGCTTAGTGGGGATGCTGCATGATTTCGAGGCTTTTGGTCTTCAATCCTGAGTATATTTGTGTGAGCCAGAGTTTAGGTTCGTCCACTCACATTAAAACGAAGCGAGCTAACGCTTCGCCGGGTTCAGCCCCCAGGTGTCATTCTACATTTCAATCCCTTGCCTTTCAAACTTGCGGACTTGACCATCCCACACTCAGTGACTCACCTTCTCACCAGGTGTTGGGCCAAACTTCCCGGACGTCGTGTCCTACCCCGACCGCATTGTTTCCCGCCACCGGGGGCCACGTCGCCTTCCGTCCCTCTCAGGTGCTCCGGAGGAGCGGCCGTCTCGCTCGCTCGGCCTCAAAAAGGCAGCGGCTTCGATGCAGCTTCGATGGGTCGCGCGGCATCCGGGATCGACCGCACCTGGTAGGGGCTCTACTTATGGGGTTTCAACGCTTGGCCTGGACAGCTTTTGGTTTTGGAGCCGAAGGATCGTGTCAGGTGGTCGCATCGAAGTCATCTCCAATCTGTATCTCCAGTTCCAAACCCACCTTCAGTTCGGTGTTCGCCCCACACCGAACTGAAGCCGGAACGAGCCTTCATGGGTGGTGAAAGCTGCTTTGGGGGCAGGTTGTGCGAGTTTGAAATCGATTGTTCAGCTGATTCTTCTTTCAGCTTGGAGGCCGAGTGTGAACATCTGTTCGTTCCGGGCATCCCAGTGATGTGAACCATCTGTGTACGTCGGTTTGTCGGCTAACGAAGCTGGGAGGTCAATCCGATTTGGCCACGACCTTCCGGCCTTCAGAACGAACTTCGGAAGGACCTGCAGGGCTCAAATCCCATTCAAATCCCCATTCAAAGGCCTCGAGCTGAGTCTGAGTCTAGTCTGCGAGTCGTCTTGAGAGACCTAGCGTCGTAGAGAAGAGAGAGAGAGGCAAAAAGAGAGGGAGGCACACTCCAAGCCGCTTTCGGGTCAAAGGTGATGAATGATTCGATCTGTACGATTCAGAGATGATCTTTGAAGGCGGTGCGAGTTTAGATGACGAGAGAAAATCTAGTTCTTGTGGGACATGTTTGGCAGCCATGCTTCAGAAAGCACCAGCTGTCTATCACTTCCGCCGTCGCCCAACATAGCCGCTTTAAAAAGAACAGCCAGAGCAAGGCGAGCAAGACTCACCATGGGCGCCAATTTAGTTCAACTCAGGAAGGACATGCTGATTTGCACCTCAGATATCACAGAAAACATCAGACAACTGCTTTGTATCCGATAATACTTCGCGGCTGCGCCATGTTGACTTCCTCCGCCGGAGGGATGTCTCTGCTGGACGAGCTGATTGCTTGTGTTCATTATCGAATTCTGCTGTGCATGGATGAAGGGGCCCTCTCGAGTCTTTCAGCGCCAATCAAAGCGGGTCCCATATGGCAGGGCCTGGAGGACGAACCCCCAAAAGAGTGATAAGATTTATTAAGATTTGATGTATATGTAAATGATGTGTATGTTAGTATGTTTTGTAGGTTTTTGATTGATAACGCCCCCCCCCCTCTTCACATGTTTTTTGAGTAAGGAGCCGACATTATGTGTATCCGATGTCCAATGTATAAAGTAAAAAGTTATACGCGTCCTCCGCCAGCAGGGGGATGTAGGCACATGAACATGTAGCTGATGACAACCACATGGACATGCCATCCACGGTGACGAGCGTCACATGAGCAAGAAGAGGGCGGTTGATCTGGAGACCCTCTGGGATCACGGACGAAGCTCTCACGAAAGCCGTGTTTTTTTTTCTTTTTTACGGATAGCTGGCTGGTGGCTGGTGGAGGCTTTTGATTGATCTTCTTCACATACTTCTGAGGGAAGATTTCCCCTCGGACTTGATGCTGTATGTCTTGGGGTGATTATTCAAACCACCAGCTACTAAGCTACTAGAAGACGTGGGTTTTTTTGAGCTCGCTTTGCAGACTTTGTCCCAAATCATGCACGTCGACGTCCACTTTAGGTGATTTGCTGCCCGTGAATGTGGGTGAGTGTTTATGGACAACAGCCCGCTTCGGGGGTTCAAGCATCATGCTTTTGTTTGGTGCCTTTTTTTGGAGTACTTTTAGCAGAAGGTTTGCCCGCCACCACTGGTCTATATAACCTTTATCATGAAAATTGGTAAATGTCTTCAATTGTCACCACCATGAATCATCAGCTATTCGTGATGAGGAGGATGCCACACCCTTCCTTCTTCTGCTGCACATTTAGCATCACTTATGTAATAATTATGTAATCACATCAATCACGTGCTAAGAACCTACCGACAATAGCATAAACGTGTTCGATTCTCAACCACCTTTGCTCCGAACCGTCGTTCCTTTGGCACGAGTTCTTCCCTCCACGCTGCCCACCCCAACAACCGCGGCATTCTGTCGCTGTCCTGCCGCCGCTTTCCGCCGCGGCAAGCACCCGAGGCATGGGCTCCTGCAGCCATTCCTTACACCAAATCGCCCGCTCGCAGGTCGGCGGCGCCGCGGGCGCTTCGTTCGCCGGTCGGACGGACGAACGACCCCGGACGCCTTGTGTCGGTGTGGAAGACGGTCCCGCACATCGGTCCGTGGTGTTCCGTGGTGTCGAAGAAGTGGCGAACGTCCTGAGGTGTACTGTACATTGCCTGGGGGGAAATGGCCCGCCCCTCTCGCAGGTTGGCGCCAGCAAGTTATGGTGGTTGATGGTGGTTTCAAAAGTGATATGATATTGACTCAGACAAGCTAATCGATTCTTTAAAGTTAACAGATTTTAGTAGATATTTGATATTATGTAGTAATCCTACCCACCACTCCTAGACCATTCATCGATGACGCTGGCTATTCCTGGCGTCTTCCTTCCTCACCAGGCGCTGTGGCAGCGCTTGGCCATGTGCCGCGATCGCCTGGCCGCCGCGCGGTTCTTGGGCAGCTTTAGCCCCGATGCCCGGCGGACGCCTGGCGGCACCGTTGGACGCTATGCGAACGCCACGCCGGGAGGGGGGGAAGGATGAAAGGAGTCAGCGAACAAGGTGAGATAGGGACAATAAAAAGGTACAGTCGGGTACAGTATGTCGAGTGTGTCTCTGTGTTGGGTCATGTTCTTTTAGTTTTCTTTTCCTCCAGGTGGTTAGTTAGTTAGTCCTACAATTATAGCTGTCGGGTTCTTGACCTGGTTTACTGTACACTGTACACCCACCGACTCGGGATCGAAGCTGTTCTTGGTGTGGCGTTTTAAAGCTCCCATCGGCTGGAAGAAGCTCCCACAGCAACTTGGTCCATCAACTGTACCTACAGCAACTCTCAGTCCCAGTGCTTCTTCCACAACCTCCAAGAAGTTGCAAGAACTCACTGTAGGCACTGTAGGCCTCCCACAGAATGTATATTCGCTTTTGCGTATCCAGCAACCGCTGAATGATAGCGAGCCAGGCAGGATCCTTTGCAGCAAATTCATGATCTGGAGCCTGATGAGTAGGTGCATGTACAGTAGGACATGGTGACCTACATGTTTCTTCTTGGAGGTACGGCAAGTCTGGACCACAGCCGCGCAATCATGTTCGATCCTTGTTTTTTTCTTCCCACTTAGCTGCTACGAAGTACTAATTGACAGGCACGTGAACATCAAGCGCACTTGATAGTCTCACACCTGATAGTTCAGAATGCACAACAACAAAGACAACAAATGTCTTCGATGGACACAACATCCGCACAGCATTTCATGTGGCCTTTTGCAACCCTGGGTGCTTTGCTCCCCTTTTGGGAGCGGGGTTGGCACCAAATACCCAGAACCGGAACACTGTTTTTGTATGAGCCCTGGCGGTAGCAACTGGGCCATGCTGCTGCCCCCTCTAGTTGCGCTGTAGATGACAACCACACCGGTATTATATATATAGACTTAATACAATCTGACTATGGAGAAAATTACACTTTAGCAGAACTTTGAAGAATCTACCTCGGTGGTTGTATGCCTCCCGGAGAATCTGAGAGTCTTGTCAGCAGATCAGTGGTTGATCTCACTGAGGCCTGTGGTGACCACCGAAGGCCCCAGTCCTTATCTCCCTTGCTCCCGCTTCGTGCCGAGCTCCATGCACAGCGGGGCTTCCGGCGCGTTGAACGGCGAGGGCACCATTGATTGGAGAGCCTGGGCTGTAAGCGAAGCTGAAGCAGATGGGCAGGATCCAACGTATCACTATCTAGCTTATCTAGCTGGTGCCATCCATATTCCCCATGAAACAGGGAGCCAGGGAGTTCCCAACCCCGTAAGCTAGCAAACTGTTGCTCACTTGGAACTTTTGTACCCGTCGTTGCGGCCAGACTTGGCGAGGATTGTGGCTGGAAGAATCATTCCTAGACTTGTAGAAATTGGTTTGCAAGGGAGAAACCCATACTGTAGACATCCAACCACACATTTCCGCTATAGCAATGGAAAAGGGCTATACCACGCAAGTCCAATGACACACGGAAGTAAGGAGATGTGTGCCGCCATTTGAACAAGTGCATGGCCGAAAGACCCTGGGAAGAGGTGCCAGAAGCTTCGAACGGCCTCTCAGATGCAAAAGGGACTGGATCAATAGCATGGGTTGTGGGAGCACAACCTACACTCATGTTGTTCTTCGTCGGAGTTGCAGGTTGGTGTGTATTATTTAACACCTGAGGCATTTGTCGAAACCTGTGGGCAGTGAGACAAGTGTCGTCATTGCATGTGCTGTATTTTGCATGTTGTGGTGCTAGAGAGGCACGAATTCCCGCTCCGATTCAACATATAATATATATGTTGCACAATACTGATGAGGGCTTTGTGGAGAACCCTTCTGAAAGTCAACTCCGTCCTGGATCTTTCTCCTGTTGAAGAAGTCCAAGTCCTACACCACCTAAAATGAACAAACTACCCAAAGCCTGGAAGATTGGTGCACCTTTTTCTCCCTTCAACCCGATCATTTTGATGCATCACCCCTACTTCGAGCGGGCAATTCAAAGTGAAACACCAACCACCTGATTTTCTCAAGACCTCGCTTTAATCTCGCGACCACCACAACAAGAACTCCTCCATAGTCAGTCCTCCTTCCTCCCCAAAGTAAGGAGACCAGCCTCCTCACTCGCTGCAGACTCCTCCTCCTCCTCCTCCTTCTCCTCCTCCTCCTCCTTCTCTTCCGGTTCTTTGCCCCGAACCTCTCGCTTCGGCTCCCGAAAGGCACCGGCCGCGGTTCGTCCCTCCAGGACGCAGCGCCGCCCTGTGGACCGACTTGACCGACGACGGGAACGGCGCAGACGACGGCGCCCCGAACGAGCCGCCGCCGACGGGAGCGACGCTGCTGGGGTCGCAGTCGCCGCACGTGTTTTGGATCGGCGGCGACCGGCTCCTGGGCGCCTTGGCGAGACTGCGAGAGGCGGTGGGGAGCGGGCGAGTGGAAGTGCGGGCCGGCGAGAGGGCGCCATTGGCCTGGTGGGGTGGGGTGGTGGTGGGGTGGTAGGGTGGTGGGGAAGTTAAGAGTTCTACGTTCCTTGTGGGCCGACCATGGTGAGGGAGAACCCTAGAAAGCCAGAATTGGGAAAGCCGGGCTAGTTGGAGAGGTGTGCAGGTGCTTTTTGACGGATTTTTGCCGCTGACTGTATCGCACATGGCATGAGGAAAGACGTCCATGAACAGGCTTTCTCAGGCCACGTGGACCAGAACAAGTAAACTTCAATGCCATTGACGCCTGCTGAAACCCATTGCTGAACATTGCTGAACCTCCCCCCCACACATTGCTGGAAAAGCCAAACAAAACGCAACACACCAAAAGCAATGCAATGCAAAACAAACAAACAAGCAAGCAAGCCAACCCCCCCAAAAAAGATCGAATATCTACAAGCAAACAGCCGCTCCCCCGTCCTCGCCTCGGGTGCGTCGCACGGGCGTCGGCTTCGCACTCGGTGCGGAGCCGCTTCAGGTCTTGCGGGCGGCTATTCACCGGACGTGGTCGGCGGATCTGCCATTCACCCGTTGAGGGAGATCTATTTGAGCTTTGGATCGGAAGGGGGAGAAAGCAACCGGTGAGTTCAGGAGTGGTGGAAGCTGTTTGGTCGTATTTCACCGTGAGGTTCTCATTTTCTGCCCATTTTCATCAACATAGGGACCAGAGCCTTGCAAGTCATACTGGTAGCAGATGGCCACTTGACTCGTCACTGCAGGTTGTTGGTGACGTGACTAGTTGGAGAAGGCGGTAGCCGTGGACCCATCATAGTGCTACCAGAGTTCCACAGCTACAGGAACTACATTTGTAGACGGTCAATTTGATTTGCAGTTGCTTTGTCAAGAGCGGCGCAAGCATGCCCAATTCGGGCAAAGCTTTGGACAGTAAAGCAGCTTTTCATGTTCTTCCTGTTGGCACTCTGATGAAACTACTGCCTGGCTTTCATTAAAACCTGAAAAGTGCAAGTCGGTGATCCATCGACACCCGTCGAATTGCTTTCTTGCTCCAGGTCGAATGGTTTGTCCGGCGTTACCGGTCCCGATCACCGCCAAAAACCACCGGTGACCTCGACAGATCCGATAGATGTACATCATCCACGGATGGCGATCCTTGTTACGTCGACCGGTCACGTTGGTTGAGGATGGATCTTCCTGACATCTCTGACTCACACGCGACGCTCACACGGCCGGACCTCTCTGTGAAGAAGCTTGATTGTGGCACGGCCAATGGCAGGCCACTGCGACACCATCACCAGTTAGTTGTGAACCCAAAGAACACATCCTGCTAGAGGGAGCAAGTTTTGCAGCTTCAAATATGCCTGTTAGATTTGGAACCTTGGTTTGCCTATTCAAGATTCACTGGCATCTCGGATGCACTGGCATCTCGGATGCGATTGAATAAGTCAGATTGATTGCTCTTGTTCAACTTCTATAAATTGACATCGTTGGTAGGTCTGGACTAGACCTACATATGCGAGGGGCTCATGACCTTCACATGCCAACCTCCAAGCATTGCCACGCGTGCAGGTTGCCGCACGGGCACCCCTCGGTGAACGGCTGCGCATGCGACTTCGATGCCTTGCGCTCCACGATCTTCTTCTTCGGCGGCGGTACGCCGCATGCAGAGGTGCCGGGGAAGGATGGCAGCGAAGGGCGGGATGAAGGAGGTAAGGATGGCCACAGATCGGATATGGTCGGAGATGGAGACCAGTTGCACGGATCGTGGATTCACTACAGTCACATGTGCTAGGCTTGGAATATGGACACCGGGATCTGGATCTATGAAGTGCTCGAATTAAGCCTCGATTTGCGGGATGTTTTGAGATCACCCAGGACTCTCGGTTCATAAAGAAGCGATCTTTAACTAATTAATGGGACTCAACTTGTCAACAATCCGGAGACTGCAGTCTGCAGCTATAAAAAATGTTCAACCCATGCTTGTGCACTCCACATTTTGATCTGATCCCGCTCCCTCCCGTCTCCTCCCTCCGCCGCTTCAGCGCGCCAGGTCTACCACGCCACCAGCGCTTTGCGCTTGGAGGGCTGGGACGGGGCGAACCCCACGGCCCAGTGGCAGGTGGTGTCCTCGCCCGGCAGCATCGAAAGTGACGAGATCCCTTTGGCTCGACAGGGGGTCAAGGGACGCTTGGGCGTGAGTCAGGGTGGTGAGGGGGATGGGTTTTGGGGCGCTGCGCGGTCTGGGTCTCTTCCAGGGCAGTCTAGGAGTCTAGGGCTGTGGTAAGTCTATTTTTGCGACGCTGCTGGTTTTTAAAGCTTTTGCATACAGGACTGGCGTAAGAGGGTGGTAAGTCTATTTTCAACGCTGCAGCAGCGTTAGAGATTTTTGGAGTTCTTTGGGCGGTGGGCTTTGAGCCACGAAAACCCCGAGTCCCACACGAGGGTTCCGATTTAAAAGCACCAACCAGCTGTTGACATCCTTCACCGGAAGCGACAAAACATCCAACAACAAGAAGAAATGTATGAAACTCGTTCAATGAACCACACCCAACAACAAGAAACCACGAACAAGTATAAACCTCACAAAAGCTCGTACAACACTTACTATTCTTGTTTGGGTCTCCGGGGTCTCCTCAAGTCCTCAACTCCGATGAGGAACGGTGTACTGTGATGAGTTTGTGATCTTCGGAGGGCGCTTGCAGGGCGGCCGCTGCACGAACGACGTTTGGTCCTTGAACTTGGAGGGAGCTTTGGCAGCGAATCGACCCGATGACTGACGCGTTTCGCTCCCATCCCCCACCGGCGACACGGTGGGAGGCCTTGGTGGGAATCTGCTGGGTGTTGGTGGTAGGCAGACCTATAGGATTCCAATCACCACCAAATAGGCTTTACCATGCTTTACCCAACAACCCTTGTTTGAATAAGGACCTTACCAGGTCAACCATGCTAAAAATGGTCTTGGACTCCCAGGGCAGATGTAGTGAGCCGCACCAAGAAGGAAAACACATACACATGCGGACTGGATTAATTAGATGCAACCCGGGGAAGAATTCACTGAACAGCCGCACAGGGTTCCAATATGTTCCAACCCTTACATGTTGGGGCGTACTTTCTTGGTTATTCGGCCAATTTGGGGCCGGTCGAAGGGATATTGGACTCGCAAACCAGGGCAACAGTCCCTGTTTGACGAGGAGCTGCGCCGGTGCGTTTTCTCGCGCCGAAAAACAGGTTGACCGATGGTCCTGTTGTCGTTGTAAAGGAGTGAGTGTGTCGTGAAGTGCCTGAATTCGTCCGTCCCATGTTCCATGGTGCTTGAGGGTGGTTTCAAGGCTGCTTCTATCGATTTTCCGTGTGCTTCTCGGCGGGTCACTGCCTCTCTACAGCCAGCGGAAGAGCTGAAAAACACACCTCAGCCGTCTGTGAGCCTGGTGAGGTGATTCCTTCTCCTCACCTCCGACCTTACCCTGGAGGTTGGGGAGACCGAGAGTTCGGGTTGTGAGCTCCAAACCGGTGGGGGGGGGGGCGGAATATCGGACTGTGGGCAAGCGAGTATGCCACCACACCATGCATGGTATATCGATATTTGGTGGCGGTATATCTTATATTATAATATGGTATATATGTTAATGGTGTATCGCTTTAACAATTTATAATGGTTTTCAATCATGGCTTGCATGAATGTGAGACAAAAACATGACGACCTCACCTGGCAGGATCAGTGGGAAAAAACCCTGAAATCATCATCCTCATTATCCTCGTCATCGTTGTCGTCGTCGTCGTCGTCCTGGAATTCTCCCCAACCCCCAGGTCTCACGGGAGAAGATCTCCCCACAGCCTCCGTTGTCATTGGATTCATGCGCTTTTTATGCACTGGCGAGGCGCCTCGACTGTGATGGTCAAGCGCCCTCACCTCGTGTTTGGCACAGCGCGTGCCAAGCAGTTCACGGCCAATGGTTGCTGAGCTGCACGGTAGAGTTTTGAGTGTTATATTAATATTCCCTAGGGCTCCAACCATATCCTCAGAAGGTGGTTAGACCCCCTAAACCCACCATAATCATCTTCTCAGGAGGTAGGCCAGGAGCCTTAGGGATTTCTTTACTTTACCAGCTTTAAAGGTTGGGTATTAGATCTTTCCCACCATTTTGCCGAGCCGTGTCCCTACGAACCATCGTCTATACAGTCGTTGATGAATCATTCACCGTTTGCAGCGACCATCAAAAGTACTGTCCAGGGAGCAAGATACCAGTTGTGTGTGTGAATTGGTTGATTCTTGCTATCCCGGGCTATCCCGAGCCAGCCAGGAGAAATATCATGAAATATCCAAAGGGAGGGCACACCCCCTCCCCCGTAAGGTCTGCCATGCTTCACCTGTGGCGTCCTGTAGCGTTGTTTTAGAGCGGGTGGGACATGCAAAGGCGCACACCGCCGCTCAGTGCTTTTCATCCCGTGGGATTTTGAAGGACTCCTAAAGCCCCGTTCTATAGATACTAAGAGGTTGCCGCGACCTCCCCCGGCCCCTTGATGAACCGGTGCGAAGGTTCATCTACGGCGGGAGCACTTGGCAGTTCGAGGTCCGGCAATGGATGTTGAAAGCCGTTTGGAAGTCGAGCGAACATAGAAGAGGAACTGGCAGACATCAACTAGTAACAAGTGCATCGCTACCAGTAACAAGGGCACTAGTACCAGTAACAAGAAGCTACCAACAATGGCATCGCTACTAATATAGCAAGTGCAGTTCTAGTAGTAGCAAGTGCCCTACTGGTAGTCACCAGAAGCTACCAGTACTGTAGCGATGCCCTGCGCCCTTCGCCCTGAGCCGTTTCGCCGTGAGCCGGTCCGTTCGCGGTTCGGAATTCGGAGCTTTCCCATCCTGGAAGGAACGGAAAAAAGCGGGGAAAGTCCTTGTACGATGGTTGGAAAGTGAGCCACCCCCCTTTCAGATCCCTCTCGGGTCGCAAGTGAACAAGAAGAAGTCGGACATGTTCATTGCCCGAGTGGGTCTCCTTTGTTCCTGCTTGTGGCCCCAAACACTAGAGTCACTAGAGCATCCGCTACGCGAGGAGCCCGCCGAACCTCATGACTTCAGATCGCTCTTTGTCGGGAACCTCAGGACCAACCAACTCAGGTTTTCGCACCCACGTCCGCTGCCGGCGAGCTTTTTCCTCGTGGAAGGGGTCCTGAAACTGCCTCGACTGCGGGCTTTTGAAAGGGTTGTCATGCTTTGTAGATGTGTTCGGTTTTGCAAATGTCGAGTATCACGGAAAGGGTTGGAAGGAAAATGAAGGATCACTTGTAGCAAGTGCTTTTGCGTAGCATTCTTGTATCACACGAGGTGGTCAGAATCATGTTCCTGAACCATGTGGAACAGTGAACTCACCAGCTGTAGAGTTAGTGACGGGACTTGCATTTTCCATGAAAGAAGAAACTTGAAGAATACCGATTGAGGAAGGTCGTTTCGACACCAGTTTTCTTTGTTTTTGATTTTTTGGAGTGAGTAACCATTGGCCAACAGAGAACTGTTCAACTCGTTGTTTTTTGCTCGAGTTGACCTATGTTGAACTATGGGTCGATCAAAAGACTCCAGCTCAGTCCACCGCCACTGTAGGTGCTACACATTGCGGAGAGGCACTGGCCACCAACATTTGTCAGCATGGTGTTGAAGTGATGTCCACAGCAGTTTTGGGACATCTCTCCTTGTCAGGCACCTCCCATGAACATGTCCACACTGCCATGAACTGCAGTTGCTCTGAACTTTCTTCCGAATGGATCCCACTGCCATGAACTGCAGTCCCTGTATAGCCCATACATATAATCCCTAAGGCTCCAATTATATCTCCTGAGAAGATGCTTATGGTGGGTTTAGGGGGTCTAACCACCTTCTGAGGATATGGTTGGAGCCCTAGGGTATAATCCCGTATAGCCTGCCCCCGACCTTGGCGCAACGAAGCGCGTGCAGGCGATGGTCTTCCTTAGCTGCTGCCTCACCCACACGGCCTCCGTGGGCAGTGGCCGCATGCCTCCTTCCGCCTGGGGGCCTGCGTTTTGTGGAAGGGCCTTCTTTGTGGTGCTTCGGTTCTAATCTGTGAGGCTTCTTTTGACATCAATCCGGCATCCCGTGGTGTTTTTGGACCTATAATCTGGGAGTCAAAGACTATACAAAGATAGGTCTTTAGGTGATCCGAAAAGGCATGTCCTCTTCTTCAGCCGGTCAATATATGGTCTTTGGACTTCTAGGGTATATAGTTTAATTGGCCTTTCTCTTAGACATCAATCCGTGGCTTGACTAGAAGTTGCTCCACTCCAACACATGCGATATCTTGCAATCCTTTCCCCACAAATCCGCCGTGTTTCCACGCGCACGTGCGATGCAGCGACCCAAGTATCAAAAAGGCCTCGTGTTGCTGAAAAGTATTCTTTTCGGCGATGCTCCTGAGGCTTGGATGTTGTCAGCTCTTGCTGCTCGGTGGGACCTTGCCCCACAAGCTGCTCGTCGTTGTCGACGAATGGGTGGGCTGGAAGCCGTGCGAAAGTTGGGGCGGGACTTTAGGACGACTCTGAAGTCAATGACCTTGGAGAAAGATTTATAATGACTCTTGATTCATAGAACCTCCCAAATATGCAGAGGCCAGAGGGTTTTACCATCCAAGTGTGGGCAAGTTTAAACATGAATCGAGAGTCATCAAATGTCTACGATGAACAGAGGGTGACGGTGACGTGACTCCGAATGTAGAGACAAGTCGCACTACCTGGCGGGGTCATGCGAGACAGCAACTCTGCCTCTCGGGTTCTTTGGGGTTTCGCCATTGGCTTCTACACTCGAGGATTGAAGATGGATTTCGGGTGTGCGACAATTGAAACCCCACATCTTTTCCAAAAGAACACCTACGAATTTGCTCCATAACAGCAGAGTTCAGAGTGTTTGTGCTCTTGACTTTCTGGACTACCAAGCGGAGCGTTTTGTTTTGGATTTTGCATCTCTTCTGCTGACGCTCTTATCCGAACTCTTGCTTGGAAAGTTAAGGGTCTTTTTGTGATTCCAGCCTACGGTTCTTCATCTCTCCTCCTGGTGCACGCTGCCAGAAAGCAGTGTTTGACTGCCTACCAGGGTTCAGTATTGGTTAATAGCCGACTTATTCTTGTTGCTTGCTTCTGACGCGCTGTTTCGTTTTGTGATGATGAACCATTTTGGACCTTTTGATGCACATGATGATGTACACTGACTGCTAGTAAAGACTGCATGCTAGATACTTTATTTACCTGCTGTACTACGACTTATTTTGTCATTTAATTGGTTGGACGTTGTCTTTCGAGTGCAACTGCCTGGCAGTTTCCATGTCATTGGTCATTCGGTCCATGGGGTAGGGCAGGGGCTGTACGCTTGGCTGTAGGTGTCATGTGTTTGCAGGGGAGGAATTTCGGGTAAAATTCTCCATGCATAATGTATGGCTAGTCATGTCCCGCATGTTAAGATCATGACACCAGGCACCATGTGTAGTATTTTTTGTGCTGGGGGATGGGCTGGGATGCTACTTGGCTTTGGCTTTACCGTTTGCATCCAGCGCCCCGCCTGAGGCTTGGAGCGACGGGACTCAATGCTCATTCCTTGCGGCACTGGCGATCATGGCCCCATCCTCAGTGAGCGACACGGGAAAGACGAGTTGCTTAGAGGCACAGATTGATTGACTCAAGGGAAGACGGCCTTCCGTAAAGCTTGAGGCACAGATTGATTCAAGGGAAGACTCAAAGACGGCCTTCCATTCATGGATGTGTCCCCAGCCATCATCAGTGGGAAAGGAAATGGAAGGTGAGTTTCACAATGATGGAGTTTGAATGTGTACTGTGTATAGTACACCGTGAAGAACCTCCCTTCGATAGCCATCGAACAAAAATAGGAAGTTGTCCTCTCAATTCATCTCAATTCGATGTGCCGGTCGCGACAGCATGGAATGTTGCACAAATCCAGGAGCTCATTCAAATCTGTATTCGGCAGCTGGAGATTTGCTAGCGTTGCTAACATTTGCCAACACTAGACTTGGGAAGTGGCTGTTTTCGTGGAGGAACATGTGCTTGACCAGGTTCATGTTCCAAACATTCAAGCGATTACTGACCATATGTTTAAGGGAGGCATAAACTTTTGCATGATGTTGCATGCCATGTTTGCCTTCATGACCAGCTCCATCCTACTGATCTGGGCCTGAGGGGCGACCAAAACCACGTGGTCACCTCGACCACGCCCCGAGACGCACCGCGCGACTTCAGAGCCTGGGCTCGGCCAGAAGTCGCACGACCCAGTGCATGAGGTACAATCGTTTGGATGAACCATGGGCCAGTACCTCAGTGGACGTGGAACGTGCGAATTCCACGAGTCCCGCGCGGAGACCATATTGCAGTGGACGCTGCGGGAGAACTCGCGACTGTTGGTCTCAAGAATGACGACGGTGTTTTGCAGGTTCGTGGTGTATCTGAAAAGCCTCAAGATAGAAACCACTCTCAATCCATCCATACGCCATTTTTGATGCCAATTTTGCCTTGTTGACCTTGTTGGTTTCTCCTGGGTGGGGCCAGGTGTCAAGCTTAGATCCAACAACATATATATATATATATATTTATTTTTATATCCTTTCAAAATTGGGATGGGTTCATCCTAATCTACAGGTTCCGCTGGTTCCACCAACATCTCGCTCAATCTTTCTCTCTTTGTTTACATTTCTACAGACCACCCCACTCCCTCTCTTCTTCGTGTTTCTCTCCGGTCTTCATGCTCTCCGCTCTCCGCAGTTCCCCGTCGCGTCCCGGAGGTCTTCGACCTGCGCTCGGGCGAGTGGACGCCCCGCGGTGCTGCCGTGGCGCTCCCGTCGGACGTCCGGGACGCGGTGGCGGTGGCGGAGCGGAGGGAGCAGTGTTGGGGGGGCGAAGTGGTGTGGGGTGAGGATTTGGGGAGGAGGTCTGGAATAGAACTCATGGTGCAAGTTGTTTGGGAAGTGGATTTGGTTGATTTGGTTGGATTGAAGTGCGCTGGGTCAGGGAGGGAGGAAGATGAGTCCTGCGCTTGGAGGCTATATTAGCAGGGCGAATTTGCTTAGGCTCAAGGCTCAAGGCTTAAGAGAGGTCAGAAGATTCATAGAACACTCCTCCCACGGCCATGGAGGGGACATTTTCTTCTGGAAGACTTGGGAATGATACAGACTCTTACTGCGTCCCACGAAGAAGCACTAGGACTCGGACCGCTTGCACCACTGCCCAACGGCCAGGAACCATGTTCCACTGGTCCTCCCAACCCGCCCGCCGCTCTGCACAAGGCCGAGGACCGAGAACAGCACGTCGCAGAGGCCGACGGAGAACGAGCGGGCGGGGCGTGGGTGGGGAAGGGCGCAACTCCAGGCGCTTTTGGTGCGAAGATCCCAAGAAATGAGACGGATGTATAAAAAATAGTGCGTGTATAAGTATAAGTGCACATCATTCGTGACCCATTGGTGAAAAAAACGCACACCTTGAACTTGGGTGCTTCCATGGGGGCGCTTCAAGCCTTCCCACCACTTTCTTTCACCCCCCACACCCTGGCCTTTGACCGCCTTGGCCGCGCGCCGCGCGCGCCGCGCGCGCCGCACGCGCCGCGCACGTGCCGGTCGAACCACCGGACCACGTGGATCGAGGTCTACTTGCGCAGCCACTTCGCGGCAGTCTTCGTGCCGTCGCGACGGAGCGCCCTGGTCCTGGGAGGCTCCAGGTACTTCACAGGCGAACGCGGCGGGGAGGGAGCGGAAAAGGAGGGAAGCGTTGCAGGAGCCTGGTTGAGAAAGTCCGAATTTGGTTGAGACGGGTTTGTCAGGCTTGTTGAATGGCAAGCGCATCAATCTTGGCAAATTTGAGTGAGTCTCACTGAGAACTTCCTCGCCACATAGTCACTTGCGTTGGCGTCTCGCTTCCCAAGTGGAGTGCCGCCCTACGACCGCCCTGTCCGTCCGTCCGATTCCGTGCCGTGGTGTCTGTCCGAGCGCGCGGTCCGAGCGGTGGCAGGTGAATACTTCAACGATCTGCTCGAGTTGCAGCTCCCTTCGAGCACGTCGTCGCGAGCGAGGCGCGGCCAGGGTCGCTCGTGACTGAGTCGACCGAGCGGTCGGGCTGCGGCTGGGCCGACTGACTGAGGTAGATGATATGAGGTGATCAGCTCTGCACTTCTTCAGCCTAGCAGTAACAAGCCGTAACCCAACTTGGAATTGTTTGGCATTCCATTGTGGATGCGTTGGTGGAGGTGTAGGTGTGATAATGTTCATCATCATCCGCTGAAACTGGGGTTACGTTTCTGACGCAACGACTCACAGCAAAACAACAGGCGAAACAACTGCGTGGGCGGCTAGGGAGTCTAGTCTGGTTGAAAGGAGGCCTACAATGCCAGTTTGAGCAGTAAACACCAACCTGGAAAGCACACAACTGTTGCTTCGCGGTCATATTTACCAATTATCAACAAGATTGATGCATCCATTTATCTAATAGATGTTATCCATTTATGCACACCCATCCATTTAACGCTTATTTGAGCCACGTTCTTCACCCCCAGCTGCCCAAACCCAGGGAGAATCGACCTTCGTCCTTCGGCGCAGTCGGTCGGCCCAGGAGGTGCGGCTCTTCGGTGCTGGGGCGCGGCCGCCAGGAGACCCGGGGTGTCGATGGACGCAGAGAAGCGGTGTGGGGAGGGAGGACAGAGGAGGACAGGCGGTGGTTTTGGGTGTTAAGAAAGAACCATGTATTTCAATGGGCTCCTGAGAGAACCTTCCTATAGGGAGGACATCGGGATAAATATCTTGGAACATAGAGATCCGCAAATGATTGGATAGAACATGAATGAACATGATAGAAATCACCGGTTTCAACGAATGTGAACTTGGCCCTTTCCTTTCGGCTACTTTTGGAGCCGCATGCGAAACTCATGAGACTCCTTGCCAGACCTTGAGTCAGGAGAGCCAGCATCCTTTGTGTGGCCCATTCCAGGCCTGGAGTGCGTCGCCGTTGATGGTTGGCGCCACTGGTGGTTCCACCTAGCAGAGGTCTTAGGGAGTTGGAGTTGATCCATGTGACCTGGGTGGTAACCTAGCATTGAAATGCATGATTAGGCATTGATGATGCCTTATAGATACCTGGCACTCCTTGATACCCTTTGGCTCTTCGAACCTGTCGACATGTTAGTTTGAAGCTTGGCCAAAGTTCAACACTTTTAAGGCAGAACAGGGTAGAAGTGACCTTTTGCTTCGATGTCCTTATTTTCTTCGGTGGTGGTGGATTGATTGTCCTGAAGAGGTCTTGGTGTATTTTTCGTGTTCTGTATTGTCTTGTCCTTCACTGTGCCATGTGGCATCTGGACAAAGTGCCAAGCCAGCTGTTTGCGACCGCCCGAACAAAAAAAAAAGAGGAGCCATACCCTTGGACCATCTTGCAGTCACACCTACCAAAATAAACTGTGCACAGCATCACCACCACCCCCCAAAAGAAGGGTTGTTATCATGGGCACTGAATTCAAATGTCAATCGATACGCCCTGGAAGATTCACATGGAACCTGCCAAAAAACCACGGGGCTTTTTGCGAGGAAGATCGTCTTCCAGTCTGCTCCCGTCCATGCCAAGCCCGGTTCCATGTTCGGCCGTGTAGAACGGTGTGTTCCATGATTCGTTGGGCACTGCCCAACCTTCCGCTCTGCCCAACCTTTCACCCACTGTACGCGTACCGAACCGTTCGTTCCGCGCGCGCACCGCGCAGGCGCCGAACGGACTGCCTCGCCATCTCCAAGTGGCCGACGGCCGCGAAGCCTCGCTGACACGGGGCTTCGTGGGGCGTCTGCGGGGGATGCTGCAGGAGGGCATCATCAGCCAGGACGATGGGAAGACCAGCGCGGGGGCGAAGCGAAATCGCGCGTCGCGCGAGATGAGGATGAGGATGAGGATGATGAGAGTCACATAGAGTCACATAGAGTCACTGGTGGTTGAAGGAAGGTGCAGAAGGGTGGGATCTCACATGATCTCACATGTTGTTGGAGAATAGGGGCAGGGGGCAGCGTTTTTAGGTTAGTTCCTTGTAATCTTTGTATTGTCCCAGCTGCCGATGACAGACTATTTTATATTTTTCCTGGATCCCAAGTTCAGGGCATATAAGCATGAAGAGCTGGGCACTTCTGTCATGCGCAACAGGCTGTAATACACATAAACCCTTGAATAGGTTTTGGCTGCAGTGTCGCTAGGCTAAGCTGGACAACCATGGCTGGTCTGGTTTACAAACGGTCCATGTCAGAGAGGTCTGCGAACTTGCAGTGAAGAGCGTTCGGCCTTTTCATTGCTGTTCTGTTGGCCAGCATGGACGACGGTTGCACTGCCAAACCAGTGCAGTAGGGGTGGCTGTCCAATCACCTGACCCAGTGGAGTTAAAACCATGCGCTACTTAGCGATGGTCGATTTAGATTCATTTAGATTCTGGTTCAGGCATTCTCGCAAGGTATGTCTAAAGGGGTGCAAATTTCACTGCTCAAATTCTTCAAGTATAGGTACATTCTTCAAGTATAGTTACATTCTTACATAAATGCTCTTCTTGCAACTTGCACATTTCAGCCGGTACTTCATAGGTTCATGGGTCGCAAATTCTTTTATATACTTGACTCAGTACTTGACTCAAGGGCAAATCAGGCACCTCAAAGGCACTTCAAGGCATCACAGGAAGCAATCAGAGGCATTATTCTGGATCACCTTAGAAATAACAATATTAAATAATGCATTTCAAGAAGTCTGTCGATAAACTCCCTGGCAAGCCGACATTTGCAGAGCGCGTGGCGGATTGAACGTGACTCAATTTGACCATGCCGCAGATCTTGTGTACAATATTGTGATTGGATGGTGGGGAAATTGCTCGTCAAGCTGCAACCCCCGACTCTTTAGAGAAGCCTGTGATGTCCATGTTTGCGGCCCTGCTCTATTCACTGCGTGGTGAAGCGTGGATGTGGTCCTCGACTCGACTTCTCCCTATCCTATCAGCCCTCAAGGACAGCTTTGCACTTTTTTCTCGTGACAGTTGCATGCATTCTGGCACATGCCACTACCTACGCAGCGCTAGGACAAGATCGGCGACTTCGACGTGTTCGAATTCGATGGGGGTTGATCCAACCTACCAGCTAAGTAATCTCACCACCTGGGAGCCTGTTCGTCTCGACTCCCAGGTGCTCAGATCACTCAGCTTATCATAGCCTGCTGACCCTGACCCAGGCCCAGATGGCTTGCACTGATATTCATAGCGCAAGTAAACCTTTTCGCTTTTGCCAGTTGGTCGCTGTCAGCCGGACTGTTTGACTGTTTGTTGTCACAAGGCCCCAAGGCTCTTGGTTTGCACCTGGTCGGACGTGCGCATGTCAGGAGTTCAGGTGCTTCTGTCATTGACAAGGTTGGTGGAGAAGTTGGTGGACCGTTGAGTGTCATTTGCCTGGCGGACTTTGGTGCGCGTATATTGGCCGGAATGATATACAGGTTCGTTTAATGCGCAGCGGAGTGGCATGCTTCTCATGGCAAAATGCCGGGAGTGAAACCCCACGCTCATGAATGAAGGTTCAAGGTACATGGCATGAATTGAAATGATGTGCTTGGACAATGCGGAATTGGCCAACACTTTTGTGGGACATAAGAACTTCTGGCCTCTTAACAGATAACATACTTGGATCCAGAAGCATCTTAACCGCTTTTGATTAGGCCCATCAGGCAATGTTCAAGGAGTCGTGACCATATGGCCATGCCCGAATTAGGTGTGACATTAGACCTGGAACGCTCCAGTCCCCTCGCAGGAGCAGTTCAATCTGATGCGTTCGCCTGGGTGACAGCTGAGTCTCACCAAGTGAAAAACAACATGTGGCTGTGAGGAACTTGGGAACTTCGGCGCATCATCTGGGACCACCATTGCGCAAATGCTGTTGGGTTCGCGAAGGTGTTTTCGAAAGGCAGGTGGCTGACACTGTACGGCACGCGGTTTTTTCATGTGGCAGTAGGTAACATCGTGTAGGAAACTGTTGTGAGCATTCCCAGATGCACTTGACACCTTGACATGGTGAACCGATCGAAGCTGCTTTTACTTAAGCGCCCAAGAAAAAGGGAGCGATCATTCGAGAGCCGCCATTTCGTTTGGAGCCGACCTTTCGTTTTGGTTTCGCTGTGGAGAGGAGTTTTTTGCAGAGCGGTTGTTTGCACACCTGGTCCATCAGACCAGGTTATGAGCCCAAAGGTTCATGCTGGAGCATAGGCGACGACAAGCCAGCCGGCAAGAACTCGAACAGGGCCAAAAGGAGATCCAGGCAGCAGATGCCAGGATGAAGCGGGAAGCCAAAAAGAGAGGCGAACTTCCGATCGAAGATGCTAAGGTTGGAAGGGGGGGAAAAGGAAGCTCAGCGCCTGAAGACAAGGGGCATGATGTTGGCTCCACCCGATCGCCTACGGTCACCCTGCCATCCACCGAGGAAAGCGCCTCGGCTTCTAAGGCACCAGCAGTCTCAACTCCGAAGCCCATTGAGGATGAATCAGGTTTGCCAAAGCCGCCTGAAGAAGCGCATGCCAGGACACCACAGGTTCTGGGACCGAAGGGTCATGAGAAAAGGGAGTCGCATGGTGTTGAAGTGATAGATGAGAACCAAGGTCATGAGATGATTGAAGCAGGTCCCCATCATAGGACACCGGAATCACATGCTGTGACCATGGCTCCACTCTTCACGCCTGAGCAGTTGGAGTCGTTGCACCAAGTACAAGCCCAAGCTCCATGGCTTTATGCTAGGTTGGAAACGCCACAAGCACCAGCATTGCAGCGGCCTTCGTTTCTTCCCTCCACTGACCGTGATTGGAGGGTGAGAAAGGAAGAAATGGACAGTAGAAGTTCTCAAGAGTTGATAGCCCATGTCCAAACTGCCGAAGCTGCAGAGAAAGAAGATCTTCTTCGCCACCTTCGACAGCTCACCTATGAGAATGGTTTGCTGAGGGATGAAGCCCAAAGAAGAATTCGAGAAGAAGTTGTGAAGCCACCAGCAGGTCTCCATGAACGACATGTTCAAACCCTGTTGGAAGAAAACCTTCGATTGCAGCAGGTCCTCGATCCTGCCACCAGCCAAGGAAGACGACCCGATCTTTGCCACCCCGAATGGAAGCTCTGGTCGTGAAGAAGGAACTGGAGGACGGGGGAGAAAGACCCAACAAAGGGTTGAAGAGAATGATGGACGAAGGTCCAGTGAAGTTGATGAGTCAAAAGGTCAAGAAAGCACCGCACGCAAAGAGACAGAAGAAGAGCCAGTAAAGAACAGTGGCACTGGAAAGGGCAGAGGATCAAAGAAGAAAGAAGTGGGAAGTGAAGAAGACAGTGTGCATCACCACACCTTGCAGGTGATCTTGAAGGTTGTAGAAGGTATGCAGAAAATGCAGGATCGAATGTCAAAAGGATCCTCGACGGACTTGGAGAACGAGCCCGAGATGGTGAAGCACAATGTTGAGCTCCCCAAACTACAGGAATGGAATTGTGAGTCGGCGCCAATTGACTTCGCTGACTGGCTTCTGCTCCTGGCACCACTGATGGCTGACCTGACCTCAACGTCAGAAGAGTGGTGGAATTTGACCTTGGAGGAATCTCGCCAGTGGTATCAGCGCCACCTCACCAAGTCACCCTTGGACCGGTTGACCCACCAGATATCGCCAAGTGCCAAGTTGACAACTCGCAAGTGGGCACGATTGGAGAAGCGAACTACAGCCCTACTCCTGTCTGCCATTCCAGAATCCCTTCGTGAAGAAGTTGTGTCGAGCAAAAGTTTGTCAACTTTTGGAATCCTGGTCAAAGGCATGATTGCCTACCAGCCTGGAGGCCTTTCTGAACGTCAGGCTATCTTAGCCGCCCTGGAGAATCCAATGGAGGCCACGTCAATTGGCCAAGCAGTCATGACACTCCGGAAGTGGCTGCGATGGCGGAGGCGGGCGGAGGAAGTGGGAGTTTCGATTCCCGACCCCACGATTTTGGCTCGTGGACTCAGCAAGCTGACAAAGAAGTTGGTGGTTGTTCACCCTGAGCTCAACTTCAGGCTGCAGCTTGTCCGCAGTTCGTTGATGGTTGATGCTGTCCCAAGCCATGATGCCATTTCGAAGTATAGTGAGCATCTTCTTGCTGAGCTAGAACAAATGGGGCAGCAATCCCGAAAGAAGGAGAACACCGTCGACTTGCCGAAGGTCAAGAAGTTTGAAGAACAAGGAAAAGAAACAAAAGAAAAGAAGGAGGCCAGGGACGGTGATGACAAAGAGAAAGGTAAGTGTCGGTTCTTTTTGACGGACCAAGGATGTCGAAGGGGGAAACACTGTGGGTTCTCTCACGACCAAAAGGACGACAAGAGACGCTGCTGGGTGTGTGGTTCACCAGATCACTTTGCACCGGCCTGTACAAGACCAAAAGATTCCAAAGAAAGCCCACCGAAGCCAAAGATCGCCAAGGCGGAAAAAGAAAAAGGTGGGAAGCAGAAAGGGGGAGAAGAAGGAAGTGATGATGTTCAACCGGCCATCAAAGAGCTTCTCAAGGAAGCCAATGACATGTTGCGAGGGATGAACACCACTCCATCCCCATCCTCTGCAAGCACCTCACCATCCGCAAAAGGTGGGGACTCTCCTGAAAGAAATGAAGTGGTGGAGAAGCTCCAACAGCAGCTCAATGCCCTCCGACAGAAGGCATTTCAGTTATGCCGGCTCAAAAAGGGGGAAAGACAGGGCTTGCTGGACTCAGGGGCGACGCACCCTCTCCGCCCAAGCAAGAAAGGTGAAGACAAGTCCACCTACCGTGTGGTTCAGGTCTCGCTTGCCGATGGACAAGTTGTTGGCATGCCAATCTCCCCAGGAGGTTCCATGGTGTCAGATGATGATGACATTGAGCCAATAGTTCCGATGGGATTGCTCACCGAGGCCCTTGGATGCACGGTCTCCTGGTCAAAAGATCAGCTTCAGGTCCACCACCCTCGACGGGGAAGACTTCCAGTTGACCAGAAGGATGGATGTCCTCAGCTGCCTCGTGGTGTGGCCCTTGGTTTGATTGAGGAGATTGAGCAAGTGAAGAAAGGAATCAAGTTCAAGGAAGATGACAGTTTCCACGATGAAGTACAATGGATGAAGCATTTTGTGGAAGCCCATCCGGTGTTTCGCCGGCTTCCTCAAGAAATCAAGAATTCGCTGGTCGTGAAACCAGGTGAATGGTCCTCCCTGCCGGCCAATCGTCGGAGGAGGAAAGCGATGAAGAGAGATGGGTTTATCTGCCACTTGTACGCCGGGGAGGAGGAAGGCTTCACTCTCCAAAGGGCATGGAAGCAAGTTGGTGGAGATGAAAAGGAGTTGCTCGAAGTTGACAAGAAGAGGGGTTCCGGTCACGACATGATCCTGAACACTGGTCCCTATGCAGGTCTACTTCGAGCTGTGTGGGAAGGAAAGCTGCTCGGCCTAGTTGGAGGCCCAAATTGCAGGACAAGAAGCGTCCTTCGACATCGACAAGTTGAATGGACGGACGCAAGACCTCTTCGAAGATGGGGGGGTGAAGAGTTTGGCATTGTGGACGCAAGTCCAGAAGAAAAAGAAAAGTTGAAGGAAGATGACCAGCTGCTTTGGAGGATGATTTTCTTAGCTGCCTTGGACACGTATCTGAGACGTGCCAGAGGACTCGATGGACAGCTTGGATTTGCCCTTGAACAGCCAGCGTCACCGAAAGACTATGAGGCAGCAGTGGTCTCATTTTGGGACACCCTTGAGTGGCATGATCTTCGAAACGAGTTCGGCTGGATGGAGACGACCTTCAGTCAAAAGCCGCTTGGAGGGGCTGCAGTGAAGCCCACTACGGTTGGTGGGAACCTTGAGCTCGCTCCTGAGGAATTTTCCATCAATGGCCAGATCCATCACCACGTCCGTGGGTCATGGGACCTAGCCAGATGGCCTCCGGGGATGATGTCGATGATTGCTGAGGCTTTGATGACTCAGGTTTTGCGAAGGCCAGTCAAGCTCCGTGCACTCTCCTGGGAAGAGCACCCGCTGCTGGGCCACACACCAAGTAGAAGAGACTGCCGTGTATGCCAAGAAACACGACAGCAGTGCTCTCCACACAGAAAGGTGGAACACAAGTTGGCAGGGGTCCTGTCATTAGACACGGCCGGACCACTGAAGCCAGCGTATGACCTAGGAGGTCTTCAGTCCCGCTACTTCTTGGTTGGGACGCTCACATGGGCACTTCCACTGGGCTTTGATGTTGACGTCCAGGGGGAGGAAGTTCAGGAAGGTGAAGATGAAGAGTTGTGGCCCTTGATTGAGGCCAATGAAGAAGAAGAAGCTGATCAAAGGGATGATCAAGCACCAAAGGATGACCAGGTGCCGCCAAAGGACGATAAGGTGCCACTTGGTGAACGTCGAGGAGGATTGTCGGACGCTGAAGAAGAAGCGGGCCGAGGAGTCTTCGATGACGATGAAAGTGAAGAAGATGAAAGGGCCATTGAGGCCGAAGGTGAAGAAGATGAAAGGGCCATTGAGGCCGAAGGAGAAGAAGATGAAGGGGCCATTGAGGCCGAAGGAAGAGAAGTTGATGCTGGGCCGCCAAAAGACTTCAAGATCGAGATCTTCAGGTTGGCATTGCCTATGCACTCAAAGAAGTCCAAGGAAGTCACAAGGACGACAATGGACATGCTGTTGAGGTTGAGGATGGACGGATACTCCGTCGCTCAGATACACTCTGATCAAGGCCATGAATATGCAGGCCATTTTCAGGACTGGACAAGGCGGCGGGGAATCATCCTCACCAAAACCGCCGAGGACGAACCCCAGTCCAACGGACGTGCAGAGGCCGCAGTGAAAGCACTGAAAACGATGGTTCGAAAGGCTTTACATCAGGCCAAAGAAACTTCGAAGT